AAGCAGGCACCCTGGATGATGCAAGGACAAATATGGCGCTGTCCTTCTGGAGAAGAAAGCAGATGAAGACATTGTCGGGGGAGTGCTGTGATCTCTGTGAGGTGTCACAGGTCATCTTAGTCCGTCAGCTCCGGAATCACAATTACACACATCCCTGTCCTCTGTGTTCCCTGTAATCCCCATCCTCCATCCACTGCAGGAAACACTCATATGATGTCATTTACTAAAGGAGAGCTCCGGAGGACTCGGGACCCAGAGGCAGCCGAAACCTCTGGACAGAGCTGAGGTCTGAGGTGAAACCCTGGGAGTGGCCAGTACAGCAGAGTGCAGTCAGGTGACAGGTCCTTATCAGTCAGGTGACAGGTCCTTATCAGTCAGGTGACAGATCCTCTCCAATTTGCTGACAGGTTCAGCCAGGTGACAGATCCTCTTCAGTCAGGTGACAGATCCTCTTCAGTCAGGTGACAGATCCTCTTCAGCCAGGTGACAGATCCTCTTTTGTGAGGTGTGACGTATAGAGGGTGCAGTGTCGCCCTCCGGCCGCCAGTGGGCAGTGTGGGGGGCAGGAAACGAGGCGGCGCTCTGTCCAGATCTCTCACTGATCAGCAGCGCCGATACATACACTGAGGAGCCAATCAGAGGAAGCGGAGTTCACGTGACCGCAGTTCCGTGAGGAGGCGGGTTAAGGGCGGAACTAGGGTGACAGCCGGAGATAGTGCGGGATCCGCCCACTGCAAGGTGAGACACCCGAGAGAGACCGGCTGCAGCATGAGGAGGGAGACAACCTGCTACATCCAAAGAATCGATCCCCCAGAGATGTGACGTCAGCAGTGACAGGTGAGCCGTGTGTGACATGCATGCTGGGAGTTGTAGTTCCTCAGAGGTACAGCACACCTAACACTGGAAACCCACATCACCCCCTCCCCGGGCCCCCCAATAGGGTGAGCTCCATTCAGAACGGATATTCTGGAGGTGAGCCTTGTGTGTCACCCTGACAATGCCGAGTGCAGAATTCCACATCTACATGGAGGATGTCCTGACCAGAGCCGAGAGAGACGGACACCATATTCCTCTCCAAGTCCATTGCTGCTGTTCCCAAAGGAGGAGGGCGGAGTTTATGACTCCATCGGAGAGCTGTCCCCTCACTTCCTGTTCCGGTGACACCCAATGTGCCAGGGTGTAATGGTGTCACCAGTAGAGGAAATGGGAAATCTCTCCAGTGGAGTCACAGATAAATATGAACAGCAGATGAGGAGCCCTCCTCCCAGGGTGGTGTCAACTCTGCATATCATTACATTAGGCTCCACCCTGAAGACGCACCCCTTCCTCTCACTGAGCTGCATTGCCCACAAGCCCCACCCCTTCCTCCCACTAAGCTGCATTGCCCACAAGCCCCACCCCTTCCTCCCACTGAGCTGCATTGAATAGAAGCCCCACCCCTTCCTCCCACTGAGCTGCATTGCCCAGAAGCCCCACCCCTTCCTCTCACTGAGCTGCATTGAATAGAAGCCCCACCCCTTCCTCTCACTGAGCTGCATTGCCCAGAAGCCCCACCACTTCCTCTCACTGAGCTGCATTGCCCAGAAGCCCCACCCCTTCCTCTCACTGAGCTGCATTGCCCAGAAGCCTCCCTTCCCCAGAAGCCCCACCACTTCCTCACACTGAGCTGCATTGCATAGAAGCCCCGCCCCTTCCTCTCACTGAGCTGCATTGAATAGAAGCCCCACCCCTTCCTCTCACTGAGCTGCATTGCCCAGAAGCCCCACCCCTTCTCAGAGACTCCTCCTTTTGTTGGTATTCCCCCAATTCTGATTGGCTCTGTGTTATGTAGTCACCCGACTGTCCGTCTTCCCTCTACAGTTGTCGCCATGGCGGGTGTCGTGTCCGAGGCTGTGGCCCCCCCGAAGGACCCCCAAATGAAGAGGTGGAAGCTCCTGTCTGTGGGTGCGCTCCTCGCCTGGCTGCTCCTGGTCCACCTTCTGGTCAATGTTTGGCTCCTCCTCCTCTTCTCAGCCATCATGGCGGCGGCGGGAGCCTGGCTGGGTCCCCAGTTCATCCTCGGCAGCTCCACCTCCATCCACCTCGAGCGGTTCATCGCCCTGGAGCGCAGCACGCGGTCCGCCGATGCCGAGGACCAGCTGGACAAGGAGATCCGACTGACCATCCAGAAGATCGTCCAGGACTTTGTGTCGTCATGGTACCGCCGCCTGAGCCCCCGGACGGCCTTTGAGGATGAGGTCAGAGGGGTCATGTGGGACCTGGGGATGGAGCTGAAGAGGCGTCTGCGCTCTGCTGACCGGGAACAGCTGACCAGGAAGTTGCTGGTCCTGGCCGGGTGTCACCTGCAATGCTACAAGTGGGCAAAGGCCCGGGCCCAGGGTGTCACTGAGCCGTACGAGAGGGAGTCACTGCTGTGGGAGGCCTACCAGGAGCTCAGCCCCACCCACCCAGCTCTGTCTGGCTCCGCCCAGGAAGTCAACCACGCCCGGTGGTTGGTGGAGCTCCTACTGTCAGAACTGGTCCCCAGACCCCAGCTAGACACGCGCACCGGGAGGCACCTCGTGGTGGAGCTCATCGCCTGTAATGTGGTCCTGCCGCTCGTCGGGAGGATGTCTGACCCGGACTGGATCAACATCGTCCTGACCAACATCTTCTCCAAGACTCTGCTCAAAATGGAGGAAGAGAAGTATGAGAGTCTGGCTCCGCCCTCCATTCCCAAGTCCCTCCCACTAGGCCCAGATCCGCCTCCTCAGTTCATCCTGCCTTCTCCTCCGTCATCTCAGATCTCTGGCTTCCCGGTGGTCGATAGCGTGGAGGTGGAGCCGGAGGAGGTGCCGGATGGGGGGGAGGAGTCCTGTAAAGAGAAGGTCGATGTTTTCCCCATTCAGTACCTGATGCCGCCCAATCCCAACAGCCCGTTCTTCCTGTGCGAGGAGTCCGAACCCGAGTCCCCCATGTCCGATCTGGGGCGAGAACTGGAGCGCCCTCTAATGAACTCCACCGAGGATCTCCTATCTGACTGCGGCCTAGATTCCCTGACCCCGGCCGAGAGCCCCGGGGCCCCTCCTTACAATGAGACCATGAGTGGTCTGTGTGAAGAAAGCTGCCCGCCCCTTATGTCAGTAACCCCGCCCCGTCCAGAGATCCTCATCGAGTCCTCTGCCCTCCAATCAGAATTCACTTCTCTGCCCAACAACAAAGATGGCTGCAGTCCAATGGATGGTTCCCCCCTCATCGCGTCTTCCCCTACCGGCTCCTCCCCCCACGTCACGTCTTCCCCTACCGGCTCCTCCCCCCACGTCACGTCTTCCTCTACC